TAAATAAATAAAATCTTTTTAAAAAAAGAATATTGATCAGATCTCATCATCAGAAGTGTTTTAAAATGTGAAGAAAATATTGATGATTTGAATTCATAAAAATGCAAAATGTTTTTGTGTCCAAAAAGTCATAAAATTAAAAGGCAAGAAAACAGGGGAAAGTATTTTCAACAAATATAAATGTAAAAGATAAATATCCTTAATACATAAAGTTTGTTCAAATGGATAAAAGGCAAAATAGATAATTTACAGAAAAGATAAAAACAGGTAATAAATATAAAATAGTCAATTTCTTTAATGAAAAAACATTTTGCCATTGAATTAGAAAAGACTTTTTAAAAAATGTTAGGTGGGATGGAAACTTACTTGTTAAAGGCAAACTAGACACACTGGTACGATACCAGTATGAACAAAGAGGCTTAAAATAATACTTAAAAAGGAAGTTACCTCAGGGCGCCTGAGTGGCTCAGTGGGTTAAAGCCTCTTCCTTCGGCTTAGGTCATGATCCCAGGGTCCTGGGATCAAGCCCCACATCGGGCTCTCTGCTCAGCAGGGAGCCTGCTTCCTCCTCTCTCTGCCTGCCTCTCTGCCTACTTGTGATCTCTGTCTGTCAAATAAATAAATAACATCTTTTAAAAAAAATTTTTTTTAAAAGGAAGTTACCTGAAATATGGGTAACATTTTATGCACAGAAGTGCTAATGTGTCTAGTAATAGGGGACCAAATAATTAATTATAGTGTGGGGGTGCCTAGGTGGCTTGGTCATTAAGCATCTGTCTTCGGCTCAGGTCATGATCCCAGAGTCCTGGGATCGAGTCCCGTCCCGCATCGGGCTCCCTACTCAGGGAGCCTGCTTTTCCCTCTCCCACTCCCCCTGCTTGTGTTCCTGGTCTCACGGTATCTGTCAAATAAATGAAATCTTTAAAAAAATTATAATGTGGACTTCAGAGGGAGAGAGAGAGACAGTCCCAAGCAGACTCTCCTCTAAGTGTGGAGCTCAAGGAGGGGCCCGATCCCAGGACCCTGAGATCACGACCTGATCTAAAACCAAGAATCAGTTGCTCAACTGACTGCTCCACCCAGGCACCCCTGGGGGTTATTTATTTTTATTATTTACTTTTTGCCTAAGGTGCTCTCTCTCTTCTTCCTTTCTTTCTTACTTACTTAGGCTCTACACCCAGCAGTCCAACATGGGGCCCAAACTCACAATCCCAAGATCAAATCTCACATGCTCCCCCGACTGAGCCAGCCAGGTGCCCCACCAAGGTGTCCTAAATGCCTTTACTTCCCACTGGCCTTCTTAACTGGCCTCTTTGATTTTAAGCCCCCAGCCCCGTGTTTTCAAGGGATAACCTCTTCTGGGACATTTGGTGTTGGTCAGATACCTCCTGCTTTGTGTGGCCCCAATATGTGTCTCCTTTCTCTTATTACAACTGATTTGCAGCCAGGGTGACCAACCATCTCAGTTTGCCTTTCCCTAATCCTAATTCTCTATTAACTTGTTCACACCTTAAGGGAGCCTGGGTGGCTCAATGGGTTAAGCCTCTGCCTTTGGCTCAGGTCATGGTCTCAGGGTCCTGGGATGGAGCCCCACATTGGGCTCTCTGCTCAGCGGGGAGCCTGCTTCCCCCCTCTCTCTCTTCCTGCTGCTCTGCCTAATTGTTATCTCTCCCTCTCCATCAAATAAATAAATAAAATCTAAAAAAAAAAAAAACCACCTTGTTCATATCTTAAACTATGAGTACCTGGACTACACAGGCTGTTTACATCATCCCTAGGGTTTTTAAAATTTTATTCTTTCCTTTATACACATTGTCTCTCTTACGATCTTTACCCACCTTAGTCTTGAGTTTATTAGAGAAAAGTACACAAGTAAGTGGAAGGTCCTGCCTCTCTCAACAGGTGATAGAGCAGCTCCCACTGTGGTGAGATCCACAGATGCTGTAAAGTTACTCAAAGCTCTGTTACAGGCATGTCAGAACACCAGCGAAGTTCCTGCCGTAGGTTAAGGCATTTGGTAACTGGAAGGAACAACATCTTAATTAGTTAATGCCATAGGTTAGGCTGGTTTTATTTATTCCTCCCTTTAGAGCTCATTGTAACTTTGAACAGTTGTTTAAATACTATTTGATACTGTAGTTGGCCCCATTTCAGTCCTGCATTCCCAGCTCCCCTACCCTGCTCTACTTTCATATTTTCTCTAACACTGACCATCATCTATGTGCTGCTATAATGTATTTCTTTATCATTATAGATTCCAGTCTGTCCCCTCCCCCACCACTACAGGCCAGGGATCTCTGTTTTGTTCATCAATTTACCCCAAGTACCTACTACTGAAGTGCCTGGCATATAATTAAGGGATTTGTTGAATAAATAGATCTGCCTAAATGAGAGATTATTTCTCTTTTGCGGTTAACTCATTATAATTCATTAACCACAAAATGAATATTTTAGAATATCAACAGAAGCCTTTTACTACCTTTCTTTTTTATCTTAATTTTTATAAATTTGCTGCCCAGGGGCCCTGTGCAGCTGCAGGTGCACAGCAGGTGCCCAGAGGCAGAGCACCTTCTGGCCAGGCACAAGAAGGCATAACGTTGGGCCGGGCCCGGCACTGGAATGACCTCGCCCAGGTGCTCCACACCCGGCCCGGCTACTTGCCACCCCAGAAGTTGGGGATCCCTTTGGCAGCACAGTATTTTATGTGACTGAGTGTGCCCCTTTTACTATCCTTCTTCAAGATGAAAAACAGGACACCCTTAGTAACAACCGATTATTACTTTCACAATTTCTTTCACTGAAATGTAGACAGCTGATCGGTGTAGTTTCTAAACAAATGATTTCAAACAAGAAATTCGTACACGTTACGCACCCTCCTTCCTTACTGCTATATGGAAACAAACATTCTGAGGAAGGGACACACAGATTTTGGTGACATTTGCCCAAGGCCCGCAGTGATCACAGCCTGCTAGTTCTGTTTCCCACAAGAAAATACTGTTCTTTCTTGTCTTGGGGTATTTGGGGGCCATAGTGAGTACATAGAGGCCTCTAACGATACCCCGAATTGTTGAGAAACCATTTGCATAAGGTACTGTGGTAACCAGCCTCCAACATGAGCCACGGTGATCCCTGCTCCATGGTATTCACCCGCTTCTGTGGTCCCTCATTCCCATGGTGAATCGGGCCAGTCTGTGTAACCAACAGAACCCTGCAAGAGTGCCCTGTGTGTCTTGCAAGGATTCATCATAAAAGGCATCACAGCAATCTGCACTGGTTTCTTGCATCTCCAGCTCTTGGGGAAGAAAGCCACTATGGCATGGGGACATTAAAGCACCTTGTGGTTTAATGTCCTCCACGCTAGAGAAACCCACTTAGAGAAGAACATCAGCCAAAAGGCAGAACAGACTTGCCAGCCACAGACGTGAGCCACGTAGGAAGCCAGTTCTCCAGCACCAGTCAAGCCTTCAGATGACCACAGCGGACATCTGCCTGCAACTTTATGGGAGACCCTGAACCAGAACTTAGCTCTCAAATTCCTGACCCACAGAAATTGTGAGAGATAATACATACTGTTGTTTTAAAGGTTTTTGGAGTGGGGCGCCTGGGTAACTCAGTGGGTTAAAGCCTCTGCCTTCAGCTCAGGTCCTATCTCAGGGTCCTGGGATCAAACCCTCTGCAGGGAGCCTGCTCCCCACCCTCCGCCTGCCTCTGCCTGCCTGTGATGTCTGTCTCTGTCAAATAAATAAATAAATAAAATCTTTAAAAAAAAAATAAGTTTTTGGAGTAAGAGACACGTGGGTGGCTCAGCCAGTTAAGCATCTGCCTTTGGCTCAGGTCATGATCTCAGGATTCTGGGATGGAGCCCCTTCGGCTCCTGACATCGCCTGAGACCGCTCCTCCTGCGCTGTTCAGTTACTTGAATAAATTCGTTTTTTCCCCTCACGTTTGTTTAAGATGGATTTTCTGCGGCTTTCAACCAAGACTTTACACAACGATATGGTTCCTTCTGTTGCCACAACTCGCGGAAACTTTAAACAAACCAACCACGAACAGCACCGGTCGCGTGGCGCTCTTCACCCGTCCCTCGGCCTTCCAAGCACCGGCCCGGACCGCCCGGCGCCTTCAGCCACGACCCCCACCCGCGCCCCCGACCGTCCGGGCCGGCCGGCCAGGGGGTCGAGTCCCGGGGCCGCGCCGCATGCCGCGGGGCAGGGCCTGGGCCCCCAGTCCTTCCCGCCCCGGGCGCGCGCAGCCCGCGTCGGCGCAGTCACGGCTCCGTCCCTCAGGAGGTATCCCCGCGCTCGTCTCCCCGGTCTGAGACTGGGCACGCGGAACCGTGGACCGTCGCCCGGACGGTCGCGGCCGCTCCCGCCGCTCGGCCCCTGGTGCGGTCTCATCCTGGGCGCCCAGAGGACGAAGCCGGGCAGGGAGCGGTCCGGGGCCCCAGCACCAGTGACTTGAGGGACGATTCGCCGCGGAAGACGCGCTCCGCCCGCTCTACGGACCAAGGAGACTGCGGCAGGATACCGCCTCCACAGGAGCCAGCATCTGATAACCGAGCTCTGCGTGGCTTAAAACAAGCATCACGCGATCCCTCTTAAATCAGAGGCGACTGGCGACCCTTCGCCCCAGCAGTGCTTCCCTCCGGGCCTGTGCCTGGCCCCGAGCACCGGCTGCCCAGCACCGCCTCCCTCCGGCCATCCGGGGTTAGTAGGCGTCGAGAAGAGACGCGCATGCTCCGAGTTTGCCTTCGTGCTTCGCCTCCGCGATCGCCGAGTGACGCGAGCAAGAGCATGAGATTATGGGAAATGTGGTTTCCAAGCCTCGGGCCCCCTGGAGTGTGTCCCCTGAGTAGGTCCAGAGCAGGACTTCAGCTCCCGGCTGGCCTGCGGGCGCGGGAGGGGACGCGAGGGAAGGGGGCGGGGCGAGTGGGGGAGGTGGGCGGGGCCGAGGGGGGAGGCCGAACGGGGGGGCGGGGCCTGGCCGGCTGAGACACCGCCGCCTGCGGTTGGAGGAACCTGAGGCGCGGGGCACGGGACCGCGAGGAGTCCGGACGGCGGCGGGCGCGAGGGCAGGCGTAGCCGGAGTGGTCGCGCCTGCGTCGACCGCCGCCTCGCGGCCTTCCTCTCCGCACGTCCCCTCCCTCTCCGCCGGGACGCGGGAGAGCCCGGCGCGCGACGGGGGCGCGAGGCGGAGCGGGCGGGGGCGGCCAATGCGAAACTGGCTGGTGCTGCTGTGCCCGTGTGTGCTCGGGGCCGCGCTGCACCTCTGGCTGCGGCTGCGCTCCCCGCCGCCCGCCCGCGCCTCCGGGGCTGGCCGGGCAGGTGAGGTCCGGGGGCCGGGCGGGCCGGGAGGCCGGGCGGGGCGGGAGGCCGACTGCGAGCCCCCGGGCGGCTTCCTCCGCGGCGTCCCGCAGCGGGAAGCGGGCCGAGCGCGACCGTTCCCTGAGGAGACAAACGGCCCTTTTCATCCTCGGGGCATTACATCGGGCAAACTCCGGGGGCTTCTCCCCGTCTGAGTCCCGCCGCCTCTCCCCTCCCGCCTTCCTCTACGGACCGGAGAGCGGTGCCGGCCGCCGCGAGTCCTGCGTCTGCCCGCCAGGCCTGGTCCGAGCTGTGGGCGCCGGCCCTCCCGCCCCGCGAGCCAAACCTTGTGTCCTTCAGCCGCGGGCGGCCGCTGCGTGCGCCGGGCTCTGGCTGCCAGGCCTGCCCCCTCCCCGCTGAGGGTCCGCTCGGTCGGGACGTGTGGGTCTCAGTGCCGCGGGCGGCGCCGGTGCGCGCCGGGGAAGCCTGGGTCTCGCCTGTCAGGGTAACTTTGCCGTAAGAACACACGGATTGTGTTTTCTTTGGAAACTGCGGGTCGGTCGGTTGGACACGTCCGGACGTGAAATGGGGCTGCGAGCGAGCTGTCCCTGTGAGCTGGCCGGGCGCCTGCTAGCGAGGCACCCCGCGATACCGCCGTTCGCCGACGGTCTGTGCGCTCGTTCCGGAGCTTTCTCTCAGGGCTGAGAGCTCGGTTCCTGCGCCTCTCACCGCCTCACGGGATGCTTTGTCCGCAGAAGGTGCGGGCGGATTTGTTGTGCTTGTTGATGTTAGTGGTTTTCCCTTGTTTTCTTTTCTAAGAGGTTGCCTTAGGACATATAAAGAAACCTAGAAGGCTGTTTTCCAAATGAGGTAGTAGTTGTGTTGTGTTCTAACTACTCGGCGAGGTTTTTTCCGACCACTTCTCCCCGAACAGCGGTTTTCTTACCCAAACGTTTTAAAAATCACAATTGAATATTTGCAATTCTGAGATGGGTCGGTGCCTTACTTTTTAAGTGGGAGGCATAGAAACTAACTCGGCAATCCGCAAGGCAATCTCATCGTTATTATGGGGGTTCCTTAGACTGGTAACAGTCTCCTAGACTCTTTTCCTATTAGACAAACCACAAGCTCTTTGAAAAGGCTATTTGTGTGACCCGAATAGAACTAAAACACGGTTAATTTATTTAATGAAAATACAGTGGTTACAGAGCATTTAACCTATTAACAGGTTAGGATTGGGGGCTTTTTTTTTTTTTAAGGTTTTGTTTTTTAGGTTTTTGTAAACTGAGCAGAGGAAAAAGTGCCACAGATCTAAAATGCTTTCTATCATCTATTAGGTTTTTGTTTTACAGCTTTCTTTCCCTTTCTGTGAGCACTACTAGAATTTACTTGCAGAACATTCTTAGGATATTTATGACCTTAATTTAGTCTTTTGGGGTTCAGTAAACAAGAAAAACCTGTTTGTCTTCAAGCTTAAAAGTTAGTAGGCGGTCTCTTAGCTTCAGTGAAGTTTTTCCTATCCCCACAGTGTTTGGATGATGCCCCTATCTTGCCATTAGGTCAGCCTGAGCTAGGTTAAGGAGACTAGGAAATAGGCCATGAGGAGGATCCGGCTATAGGTGAAGAAATCAGTACTAGTTAAATAAATTAACTTTGACTTAGGTGGATACCTTGCATCTGGTTAGATGATAAATTAGATATTTTACTCTAAATGAAACCTGGCAGACTCCTAGCTTTCACTTTGCAAAACTAAAAGCAGTAGAAGCATACGGATCGCCAAGATTTCCTGCAGCTCCTTTTCCCATCGTGTTACCACCGCATTCAAACTAAAACATTTGGGCACTTTTATATTTCTACCCTTGTGCCTTCAGCCTAAAGTGAGAGAGAAAACCCAAGATTTTGTTACATTTTCTTCCCTTGAATTAATGTTTTAAGATTTCTTTTTGTTCTTTTGTCTGCCTCTTTGTCTTCAGGCTCATTGAGTTGTAACAGTACTTTTTTAAAGGGAGACTTACCTTCCCTGAATATTAAAAAAAAAAAAAAAAAAACACCCTCTGATTTGTAGTGGATTCAGCAAATTTTTGAGAGCTTACTCTGTGCCCACTCCTGTTGTAGGTATAGAGTTATAGCAGTAACCCAGATCACATCCCTGCCTTTGTGCAGTTTACAATTTAGAAGGCAAGACAGAACCGAGAAAATAATTTTTTTAATATCCTAGGGGATGGAGATAGGTGGGATGACAACAAGAAAGCAGTGTAGAGGGCAGAGAATGGTGTGCTACTGTTCTAAATAGAGAGGTCAGGGGAGGCTCCTCTGAAGATTGGTGCCGTTGAGCAGGGGCCTGAATGACGGGCAGGAAAAATTCCCATCAGCACCTGGAGTTTTTCTAATGTAGTGGCTCCCTTGAAACAGCCAAACTAAGGTCCGGGAGAGCAACTGGTGAAGAGGAAGCAGGTCTCTTGTGAAATCCAGCACACCTAGGGGTGCATGAGGAGAATGGAGACAGGGATACTGGGCTGGACGATACAGATAGAAGATACATCTCATATCTCATACTCATACTGGGTAATACCTTACCAGGAATTATGTAACATCCTTTAAAGGATGTGACCAAAGAAGTCTTCTCTTCCTAGGATATTTGGAGAGAAGGAAACCAAAGTGAAAGGAAAGAAGCATATCCACTCAACAAATGCTTAGAGCTCTAGGTACCAAGCTAGATGTGGAGTCCCCTGCTCTGAGACCCTCAGAGTCTGCTGAACTGAGACAGGGAGCAAGGAGAAGGCCAAAGACAAATTGAGCTTGCTTTGCAATTTTGCCTAGGGCTGGTTCATCCAAAATTATCCCTATATGGTAATCTTGTCTCTGTGCTTCAGTTTCCTTATTTATAAAATGATGATCTCATAGGGTTATTGTGAAGATTCGATTAATACAACACACAGAAAAGTGCCTGATTCATAGTAAACACTCCACGGATTTTAGAGAGGAGGAATAAGATAGTGGTGGCTGGTACGTAAGCTAGTGAGGTATTTGGGGAGGTTTTAGAAATTGGGCATGCTAGTCGTGTATATGATGATTGTCCTTATCAGTAGATCTGTCATGAATTTATATGTTTCCCTCATTTCCAAGATTTCTGCTTGTTTGGGATTGATGTCATCTGAGAGCATGCATGTGAGAGTGGAAATTTTCGTCTGATTTTTAAGAATCCTTGGGCCTATTTTGAACAATCAGTTTTGAAGTCAACCTCCCTTGGTCTAGAATAGAGTTTTGGATGTCCGCTGTCAGTGGAGAACCTCGCAGGTTGCCAGACCCTCAGGATACACTACATATTAGAGAAGGGAATGCCGTTGTCCTCAGGGAGCTAGTGTGGGGTTTTAATTATTCCTGGCATGAAAATTTGTTTTTTTGTGCTTAGTGATTTGAAGGAATGAATCAAGAGAACAAAACTGGGAAAATATGAATGAATTTGCCACCTACATATTGTCTATTTACTTTTTATGATGACCTTATGATATAATTTTTTTTCTTAGAAAAGTAAAACAAGTTCTTTGTAGAAAAATTTGAAATTATTTTTAAAAACAGGGAAAATGATCTTTATGACCGTTTTTGAAAGCACATACTTACAATGAATGTTGGAGGGAAATGACTTCGTATTTTTTAAAAATTGTATTCATGTATAATATCCCTTCAGAAAAGGGCCTGTAAATGTATAGGTTGATATATTTTTGATACACCCAACTAATCCAGCATGTCAGAAGCTCCCTTTATGCTCCCTTCCATCATGGCCAGGAGTGGTAACCACTGTTCTGATCTTAAATGGCAGAGATTTGCTTGTTAATACGTCATATAAATGGAACCACACAGTATGTACATAGTTCTTATAATCTCCTGATCTTAATATGGTAAATAACAATAAAACATAATTCTGCAACATAATTTCAATAGCTGCATATAGATACACCTTAATTTAACTAATCCCTTATTTCCGCATTTCTGGATTTTGCAGTTGTTCGCTATTAATAAATGACACTGTGATGAGTAGAGATCTTTTAGTACATCACTGATTATTTCTTTAGAATAAGTTCTTAGATGTGGAATGCTGGATAGAACTTACATAGTTCTGGAAAACCTGGGTGGCTCACTAGATTAAGTGTCCGACTCTTGATCTCAAGTGGTCTTGATCTCAGGATCATGAGTTCAAGCCTCGTGTTGGGCTCCACTCTGGACATGAAAGCCTACTTTAAAAAAAAAAATTATCTGAGGTATTTGATGTGTTTTGGCAAATTGTCCCACAGAAGACTACCAAATTCCATTCCAGCAGCAACATAGGAGAGGAGCCATTTCCTTGAAAAAACTCTAAATAACATTTCTTTCCAATACCAATGGTGGGGGTATTATTTAAGAAGGTATTTGTCATTTTGAACATAGCAGGAGCCTGGTTAGATGGTATCCATCTTATTCAAACTTGATTCCTAGTGAAATGGAATGTTTTTTCATAGGTTGGTTGGCTATTTGCATTTTATCTGTGAATTATCTTTGTGTCTTTTTTTTTTTAAGATTTTATTTATTTATTTGACAGACAGAGATCACAAGTAGGCAGAGAGGCAGGCAGAGAGAGAGGAGGAAGCAGGCTCCCTGCTGAGCAGAGAGCCCAATGCAGGGCTCAATCCCAGGACCCTGAGATCATGACCTGAGCCGAAGGCAGAGGCTTTAACCCACTGAGCCACCCAGGCACCCCTCTTTGTGTCTTTTTATAGCATGTTTACTTCTTAGCTGTTCATTTCTTTTTTTCCTGTCTCCAGACACCAGAATCAAAGTAGGTCCCCTGTACTAGCAAATAGCATAAGGTGCTGAAAGTGTGCAGGCAAAGGCTGGTCGGGCAGTAGGAACATGGGCATTCTTGCACAGCTGTTTATTGAGCACCTGCTGGGGGTTTCATACCATGTAATGCAGTACTCCCAAGTCTGTTGGACTGATTTACATTGCTGGTATCTGGTGGAAGACCTGTTTTGTTTTGTTTTTTG